AAATAAATAAAAGTTCAGTTTATTTAGTAAAAACCAAGCTTGGGTTGTTTTAAACCTTTCACCCATAAGATGAAAATCATATCAGTTGTCTTCTGTTCTCTTTTATTAACATATCATATTTTTACATATCTTACCCTGTATTTTCACACTTACTTTTTTACATCTTTCATTCTAGTTGTTTCCTTGTCTTTACTGAATAATGCGTTTAGATACAGATGATTTAGGACACTTACATTAATACTGTTGCTAAAATTAATGTCATTTTATTTATTGTGAAATTTCTAATACATAGACAATATTTAAAGTTTGAGTTGTTTTGTAGTTTAGGTTTGTGAGGATAAGATGTGAGAGACGGGATGTGTTTTGTTTTTTTTTAATCACAGGAATTACAGAAACATACAGAAGCATGACAGTAAGCCATTTCACAGGTACACTTTATTTAAAGATTTGGAACCTTGTCTCCATTTCAGGTTGTGTTCAAAGTAAAATAAAGAATTTGTGGGTTTCTGCAGAATAAAGTGTCATATTTGTCTGTTGGTTGGTCAGATGGTCTGAATTACATCTGATAAAACCCCATCGCATCTGTGCAAAAGGAAAAAAAGAAAGTCTGGAGCACTAAATTCAGACCAAAAGTCACTGAAAATGTAATGCAAATCCACAATAGCGGCAAAGTAAATGTTCCAATTCAAAGAAGCAACATGGCATTACCATTAAATAACAAACATAATCAAAACAGTGTATATGGCATGTTTCAGTATTATGTTCCCAACATCAGCAACACAGAAAAACACATGACAGCATTAAAGGTACTTCAGGATCAGGCATAATTACGCCTCCATTGTGCGTTAGGGAACATAAAAACGCAATAGCAAAGCAAGTGAACCAGCATCATAATATATTCACAGAACATATTGTTTCACACTTACAGCAGACACATTCACAACAGCTCACTATTTCCACAAGATTCAGTGGAGTCACGGGACACATGCACAAAACCTGCCACAGTTAAAGGAGGAGTTTGTGGTTCTAATCAAATGCACTTCAGGCCTAATTCAGTGAATGTCTCCTTATAGACTATTAACCATTTTAAAAACGGCGTTAGTAGAGTTTGTGCAAGTTCGTCCTCGTGCGCATGACGGGGGAAAGGAAGGGATATGAGATCTTTCTCCTGAATCACAGACTCCACATTTAACAGGCTCCCAAGTCTATACGTGACGACAGCGATGCACAGACACATATTCTGAACACATTTATATTTCATAATTTCTAAACTTCTGCAGCAGACTAGATGGTGAGTCAGCAGTCCAACGGAAACGTCGATGGCAGTAATCACCTAAGAAAAAATGATAAAAAGGTAGATTTATAGGTTTATTTCTGCACACACAACACATCCTCCATGATGTAAAAAGAGAGTAAACAGGGAATGCGAGAAGAAACTGTTCAGTAGATATGACGCGTAAGGTTTCAATGACGATGTAACACTAAATATAGACAAAAGAAAATAAAAGACTGATCTGGCAAAGTCATGTTGTCTCAATAATGTAAAGCTCTGATTTTTACTATACCAGCATCACAATCGAACTTTCTTCACCCAGTACACCTGAGGTTTGTTCCCATTTTACTGTCTAAATGATTGTGTGGTACAGTTGTAATGATGCTGCTTGTCAGTATCAGTTAACATAAAAAAATTTCCAACCAGAACCGCTTTTACTGTGACGCAGTTTACAGCAAGACTGACTTATACGTATCTGTCAGTGAAATTATGGCTGACTTCTTGCTCTACACATTTGTCAGTGTAACAAGGCTCTTGTCAGTGCTTTTTTTTAATGAATCAGTTTTAAAGCCCTCCAGACAGGAGGGTGAAACAGAGGCCAACCACAGGGAGCTTTCAATTTTCCGGTGAAACTGCAGGTAAACAAAGTTAACATTACGCAGTAGGAAGCAGATAAGTGAGGCAGCCTTCTTGTCTGTTTTGGATTATGGTGATGTTATCTATAGACACGCATCTGCATCCAATCCTAAACCCTGAGATTCAGTTTATCACTCGACTCCAAGATTCATCAGCTATTTTGCTCATCAGTGCATTTTGCATGAAAAGGTTATACTGATATCTTGGACACAAAGCCATAGCAAGGATTGATTTCTATTTAACTATAAAGCCTTAAACAGCACCGTGCTTTCGTATATATCACTTCTTTATTGTACTGCTCCTACAGTCATCCTTCGTTTCCATTACGTTTTTAGCTTGTTGTTTAAAATCCTGAATTCCAGCATTTATCTTGGGAAAATTGCTTTCAGTTCTTGCGCAGCACACGTTACAAAAGTTTACATACACTTGTAAAAATCATGTATATGATAGCAGTCTAGAGCTTCCAGTGATCCCTATACCTTTGAATTTTCTTTAATGGAACCATTAAATCCTTGCTTCTGCCACAAAATACAACAACAGAGCATTGTGGTTCTTACATAGATTTATCACAGGTCTTCTGGAAATATGACAAAATCTGCTGGGTCAAAAATATACATAGAGCAATGTTAATATTTAGTTACACACCCTTTGGCCATTTTCACTCCAACTAGTCAGGTAGTCAGGTAGACGTCCACAAGCTTTGGGTTGTATCTTTGGCAGGATTAGTACAATTAAACTAAATTTTTTTCGCTTTCCAACACAAACTTGTTTCTTCATCACAGTCCACAGGTTCTTGATAGGGTTTTAGTCAGGACTTTGGGGAGGCCAGTCTAAAACCTTCATTCCAGCCAGATTTAGCCATTTCTTCACCACTTTTGATGTGGTTTGGAGTCATTGTCTTGTTGGGACACCTACCTGCATCCCAGACCCAACCTTCTGACTGATGGTTTCAGGTTTTCCTTAAGCATATGATGGTAATCTTCCTTTTTTAATATTCAATTTACTTTCTTTAAAGCACCAGTTCCACTGGCATCAAAACAGCCCCAGAGTGTAATACTTCCAACCCTCATACTTGACAGTAAGTATGTTCTTAGGAGTTAAAGGCCTCACATTCTCCCCTCTGAACATCAGATCTTTGCTGAGCTCCTCAGACTTTCTTACTGTAGTGTTTGAGTCTAATTTGTGTATCAAACGGGCTCTATCGCATTAACTTACAAGAAATGAAGAGGCCATACTGCTAAGGAGACTTGACTACCATGGCTTCCTAGATCACTAAAACTAATAATTCAGGTTGGTGTATGTATATTTTTGACCTGTCAAATTTTGCCATGTTTCCAGAGGACCTATAATGAATCTGTGAAAGAACCTAAATGCATGATTTTTCCTTTTTTATGTGAGAAAGCATAGCTTTCAGTGATTCCATCATAGAAAATTCAGTGTATGTAGTGTATGCAAAGTTTTGTTCACAACGATAGAACACTTTCCAAAAGACATTAAAATTTGAAACACGTGTATCTATAGGCTGATTTAAAACCACGACTACATTCTACTCGGCTCTTGAATTTAACTGGTTTTAACTATGTGAGCTTTTTGCGTGGTTTAATTGAATGAGGGAATGATTTCATTGATTTCCTGACATTTGAATAAAGGCTGAATGAATAAATAAATGAACGCGTGAGCAGCAGATACACATGCAGCCCTGTGGCCTGATATTAAAAAATTACATGAAATGAATAAAAACTCACGACAGCGGCCTCTTGTCCAGTTCTCAAACCTCAGAGCATTAAAGTGGAAGCTTTGAAGTGCAAAATGCAACCCTCCACAAAAAATTGGGTGGGCGTGCAGCCCTTCTTTCATATGAGCGCCAAAGTGTCCTTATTTCAATATTCTATGACCTTAACGTCACACCAAAAGGGGTCTTGAGCAGCCTGAGTTTTTCTTTCTGTAGTAACCTGCAGTGCTGCTCTGATTATTCACTGATTATTCACTGATTATCCTTCTTCTGTGAACGTCAGTCAAAAACACACCGTATTTCTGTGCACTTACTGGCCACTTCCTTCTGTTATTTGGATTAATTTTGGCGTGTTTTGCACAAGAACGCTTCTTTAAAAGAGAATGTTTGTTCTGCTTTTTATTACTTTGCAACTATTTCTAATTTCACTTACCTGAGGATGGCACATCGTCACATGAAGAGATTCCTGGTGCATCTTCCTCACAGTACTCAGCTTGTGAAGTGACTGGAGCTTCTGGTTTGGGGGCCTCCAACATTGGTTCCTTCTTATTTCTCACAGCCCAGTGCATCGACTGCAAACAGATCATCAGCTTCTACTCAGTCACAGATATTACACAGCATTGTTTTTTTTTTAATCCAGAGAAAAGACATTTCATACAGTTTTTACTGAGTCATTCAAGGCTTGCCAGTCATGGAATGGAATAGTAACACCGCTTCTTTTCCACAGGTCATAGTTCTTTCTTTTGGTTTCATTGCATAACACTTCTTTGGCTTCCTGCAGCTTTTGGAAATCTGTCACTGTCAGAAAGAAAGAAAGAAAATATCAGGGTCTGACATGGAATATTACTCTAGTGGGGATTACTCGGTGTATAGACAATGGATGGATGGATGATGTGGAATATTATGCAGACAGAATAAGGTGAAATACATAACCTTTTCAACATAGTCAGTTGTAAGCAGCTTGCCAATAACATAACTTGTTTTGAAGTCAAGACATCAGAAAGAGACGTTTACTCTTTGTGTGATAAACAAGAAAACTGTGACTAACTATATATTGTTTTTACCTGCTCTTGGGTTGTCTAAGTGTTTGTCTGGGTGACAGGCCAAGGCTCGGATCTTGTATTCATTGAGAATCTGTTCAGTCTGAAAGGAAAAACAAAAAACAACATATTTTATATGCAGAAAAATAGATATAAAATATATATTCATTGTACATGCATACATTCATTGTACAATACATTTTTATTAAGAAATTCTCAAACAAATTCAACATACAACACACAGAAAATAATATTCAGTGATTTAATGAATCTGGTCAGTTCTATTTGCTCATGAAAATGATAATGATCCGTGTGTTTGAGACCTTCAGCTGTACTAGTTCTGTGTTGTTCAGTGTTATTCTTTGCCTGAGTAGCAATTACCATGAAAAAAAAACCTCACAGCCGATATGGGTGTTGATGTTCCCATCCTGGATGTTGCTCTTAAAAGATTTTATAATGTTATTGTTTGCATTGTTAGACTGTAGAAACATTAGGAGCTCAGTTCAGCCTGGATTTTAACCTGATAATTGCACCATGATTTAAGTTATTACACAGTGAAATGGATGTAAAATGTGACACACTGTTCTCTGCATAGTCAGGTCATCTCACTTTATTTTTATGCTGAATCCACATCAGTATCAGTGCAGGCTCACTAGACAAGTGGTTCTCTAACTGTGTGCCTTAGAATTAGTCTATTTTATAATGATTTACAGCTATAATCATATGTAAAGGCCTTGTGACAAAAGCATTTGAAAACCACTGAGCTACACCAGAAGAGCCACTTTTACCAGTTAGAGTGAAATCAGTACATATATGTTACTGATGCTCTTTTTATTTATTTGTTTTTTTACAATTATTTTTATTGAATAGTAATCTGGGTGACCAACCCAGGTAATGAAGAGAAAATTCAGCCCTAAAGCCCCATTACACAAGAACTCATAACAAATAACAAATCAGTCCATAATCTGCTGCCTGGAGGTGAAAAAATTAACTTAATGTTACACTGAGCAGTGTTTGCATGCTGGAATCGGCTTAACTAAAGGTCTTTCTTAAAAGTAGATGATTGTTTAATTTATTTTTATTTTTTTCCTGAAGGTGCTTTTCTGTTCTATTCTTATCTATTTTTTGTTTATTTATTTTTTACTTCTGTTTGTATTTTTATTCTTTATTTTAACTTACATTTCTTCTGCTTCCCCCTTTAAATACTAATAAATATATTCAACAAATGGAATACAACACGTCTATTGTCGGCTTTTATTTGTATTTAAGCATCAAAGGATATTATTACAAAAGTATTTCTCTACTGCCTTTAGAAATTCTGCACAGACCAGTTATGAGATTTAACTTTTTTCAAACAAACAAACAAACAAATATATATACATATATACACCTCGGATACTCAGGCCGTGTATTCTCACTTGTTGTAGCTACATAAATAAATAAAGTAGAAATGCTGTCCGTCAGACAGACGCTGAATGACGCAGGACGACTTTGACATTTTTCGGAGAAGCATCAACAGGTCTCTGCTGGTTCTGACTAATCTCTGCAGCTCATACGATCACTGAACCTTTGGGTTAAACAACGCACAGGATGCTGATGGTTGGCGTACATTCACTATTTTAAGTTGTTGTTCCGCTTCTCAATTCTTAAACCAGCATGTTTTACATTGTAGATCCTCACAAGCGTTGTGTCATCCAGCAAATAGCCTGAGCCGTAAAACCCACTGGCCACAACTTACCGATGACAGTTCATCACATCCTAACAACCCGTAGTAATCCTCCAAGTCCTCTGGTTTGCAGCTCAAAACAGCCTCCATAAAAACCTGTCACAGGAACACGTATGGATTTATTTTGTTTTAAACGAAGCGACGTGAATGTTGCTGCCTCAGACCACAGTTGTTCAGTTCAGGGGTTGCTGATGATCTCCTCTCTGCTGTGGATCATTCACTGACCGTATCCTCAAAGTTGATCTGATTATTGCCCCCCTAGGCCAGCGGTAGGTTAAGATTTAAGACACTGACAGCTGGTTAGATTTGTCAATGAGGATCTCTCTTTGAGTTGTGGGAATATTTCAGCTGCCCCTTTTTCAACGTATGACGCATGCGGCGTTCAGGGGTTGACTTAAAAGTTTTACTCGGCAGATTTATTCACAGAGACACGAAACAAAAACTAAAAGTAGCATTAGGAGATGAAGAACAAAGTAATTGGCATTGCGATAAATGGTATTTTCGTTGACAAGGCTACTTATCATGTGGCGTCCTTAAAAAAAACAACAATAAAATAAAAATTATATATTTTTTATTTTTGTTGTGACTAAAAGTTCAACTGCTTCCCGGAACACAAAAGTTTTGAAATCTATAAATAGGACTCTCATTCTGTTATCGAAAAAGTTCTAAGCCTTTTGCTCCCAGTTCAGTCTAATCATCAGTGAGCGTTTGCCTTTGACTTGTCCTGACAGCGTTTGAACGCAGCATCATTTTGTTATGGTTTTATGTTGGCGACGTCACAGGGGGACGTCCCCCGCGTGACTACTGGTGGAGAACGAGTCACGTGCGCTATGCAAATGAGCCAGCTGTCCGAGAGGAAGGATCTGCTCAGCGGCTCTGCGGGCTGAAGATGGCGGACGGAGAGAGCAGTCTCGGAACGGCCTTTTCAGGCGCCTCCGATATGGACGAACCTGCCGCGAAAAGGTCGAAAATCAGTCCAGCGACTAACTATGGGTTCAAAGGAGCCGAAGCCGACCAGTTCTCCTGCGTCTCCGCGGCCACAGAGAGCTGGGAGGCGGCGGTGAATTGTGCGCAGCCAGCGGAGAAGGAAGCGAAGCCGGTGATGGCGGTAGAACAGGCCCCAGCAGCGCTAGGCGGAGACAACAATGGACTGGGACTGCTGGTTTCCGAGCCGCACAAACCAGTTGGGAAACTAGACGACAGCACCGTCTTTGGTGCAACTGAGGAGAGCGCAGGTATGAAAAGAGAGGGACATTTAACAAAGCTTTAAGTTTTAACGGGACTTGAAGTGGGCAGTGTTTGCTTTACCAACTTAACCGGCGAGTTAGCCGAATGTGAAACTGAAAATAAGTTTATTAGTTTGCTAACATTGAATACAGTGACGATTGGTAAGCGCTGTGAGTTGTGTTCCTCTCAAGACGACAACTTTTCTGTATAGTTTTGTTTACTTGACGCTAAAATGAAAGAGAAAACTGTCGGCGACACAGTCAGTGTGGACTTAACTTTCGTCCTTCCCGGCACCAAACTTCGTTAGCAACATAGCATTTGTTAGCCGGTTTATGTGTCCCTCCCGGTAATGTTCACTTCTTTTTTTTTTTTTTACGTTACTACTGTACAGAGTGTTCTCGTGGATTTTGGTTGAAACGGCTCATTGTTGTTACAGGAGACTGCTTCTACTTATATTTAATTTTACTCGTTAATTTTCCAAATGTTTGTATGCACAGATTTTCTTGGACACGACGATCTTCCCACGAACGGTCTGGCTGTCACACCGGACCACATCAACGAGGAAGATGACAGATCCTCACATGCAAGCTCCAGCGACTGGACTCCTCAACCGCAAATAGGTAATTGGATGAATCGTAGTAACATTTGCCATGAACCGTGTAGCTGCAGTAGCCTTTATGACTTATCTGATAGTAGTTTTTATGTAGGAAGTTACTTAAACTACGTTAGAATTGTCCGCAGTGACACCACGCGTACATTTGAGAAAACAAGTCATTGTGAGGCGTCATATTCTTGCTCAGGTTCCTACAGTTTCATCCAGCAACACATCAGAGAGACGGATCCAAGGACCATTCTGAGGGATTTGCTGCCAGAGACAGTGCTCCCACCAGACTTGGATGACATGACATTGTGGCAGATCATCATTAACATCTCAGAGCCTCCAAAAAGAAAGAAGCGGAAGGATATAAACACCCTCGAAGATGTGGTCAGGCTACTACATGAAAGTAAAAGGATCCTTGTGCTGACTGGTGCTGGGGTATGCATCTAAAGTTTTGCAGCTGGACTATTTTAATTACAGTGTTTTTAGTTTAGAAATGTTCGTACAATTAAACCAGAAAGCTTGAATGTTTTTTTGTTCCCTTGCAGGTGTCGGTTTCATGTGGAATACCAGACTTTCGCTCCAGAGATGGAATTTATGCCCGACTTGCTGTTGATTTTCCCGATCTTCCAGATCCTCAAGCTATGTTTGACATTGAATACTTTCGACGGGATCCTAGGCCCTTTTTCAAGTTTGCTAAGGTTTGTTCATGGAGTCTGTGCATTTTTTTCCCAAAGTTAACACATTAAAATATTGGATTGTTTCTGATGTGTAGTATACAGTATAAGATAATATTTTTTTTTTAAATTATGCATACTCATATACATTTTTGTAAGGTATTAGTAATACACGCATAGATATAGAAGCTCGCATGTGGATCTTCATTCATCACATTCATTCAATAATTCAAGAGTTATCTGCTGTCATGAGGTTTAACTGTAGAATGAGGCTACTGGCTTGTATTTGTATTGATTTGGCATAAAAAGTTTCCATTTGGGTTTTTAGACTAAGCTTATTCAGGCTTTAACCGTTAACAAAGTATTTCAAATGAACGATCAAGAAAAGCCAGTAGAGTGACTAGTATCATGTGCATGACAACAGCAAGGTTTGGATTTTCTTAACAAGTTGATTGTGTTCTTTTTGTTACAGGAAATCTATCCTGGCCAGTTCCAACCTTCGCCCTGTCACAGATTTATATCTATGCTGGATAAGCAGGGCAAGCTGCTGCGCAATTACACACAGAACATTGACACATTAGAGCAAGTGGCTGGAGTTCAGCGGATTATCCAGTGTCATGGTGAGCGACACGTCTTAACAGATGGTTTTTGCTCATTTTATTTTATTTACTTCAGTGCGGTTCTTGTTGATGGTGGAAGGTCAATAATATCTGTTTTATTTCAGGGTCGTTTGCAACCGCATCCTGTCTCGTCTGTAAACACAAAGTGGATTGTGAGGCTATAAGGGAAGACATCTTTAACCAGGTATTTATTCATTACAAGCTGATCCAGGATGACAAATTTACATGCACAACATCATCAAAGTCCCCCAACAAATGTTTTTGAAAAATCCAGCAGCTCCAAAAGCCTATTATATAGCCCATTACCACCTGCAGCAATGCTTAGAAAACACACAACAGACTGTATTGTCCAAAATAAACAACCTCCATCATTTTGGGTTGTAATATTACCTAAAAATCCTTCTTAGTGTGTAGTTTCCAGTGAAGAGTCCTGCAGGGTCCAAGGAGAGTTATCTGTGTACATTTGCTGTTGGAGGTCTTTTGTATGCCAGACATTGCTTGCAAACATAACACAGACTGCAAAAACAATAGTTGATTTCACCCTTTTCAGAGCAGATATTTGTGCTTTTTAAACACAGGGGTAACCTGTAACATCCCTGATTGCTACACAAATTGCTGGAACATTGCCATGTTAATGTCATTTGTCATTTTTATTTTCTCCTGCTGTGAGAAGTCAAATGGTGTGAAATGATGTGTTGTATCAAGAAACACAAGTGCTCAGAAGCCAGCAAGGATATCCTAATTTAAATTAGAAATGTTTACTCCCATGGCAAAAAGACAGATGGGTACAAGACTTTTGGCAGGGAGAAGTAACGCTGCCAGTTCTCATCAAGCAGTTGACTTTTTTTCAGTTTCTGAACTATGTAATGTACATGAAGGATGTTCTGTGGCGCTCTATTGTTACGCTGACAACTACATTATTTTTGTCTGGCATAAGATGTTAAATAGGTGCCATTAGTATTGTCCAAATATAAGAGATTTAAACCTTTTTGAAAGCATCAACCAGTACCATTTTTTTTTTGGATTATAGGGAAACAGTGATTCATATAGCGTGTCCATCCTTGATAACGTACTCTACAGAATGCTTGTTTGACATTTGTTTATCTAAAACAACAGTTTATTGGGCTTGTAGCAGTACTTGCAGTAGCAGGTATCTACTGTCTGTCTTCATTTACTTTGTAAAATGTGTATTTTTATGTAATTAGCACATTTTAAAATGTGTCATGGGGTTTTCTGCTCCAGTAGAAACTATAACTGTAGTGATGATATACCCAGGCGGAAAAATAAAAATATATTAAATTAACAACTCTTCCCAGAAATTTTGCACCATCTGTCAGTATGTGACTGCCAGTCTATTGTAATAAAATAAATGGCATAGCATTAATATAACGCAGTATTTTGTTGCAATGCTAATGAAATGAATTCATCCTGCAGGTTGTCCCTCATTGTCCACGGTGTCCAGATATTCCCCTGGCTATCATGAAACCTGACATCGTCTTTTTTGGCGAGAATCTTCCAGAAATGTTCCACAGAGCCATGAAGCAGGATAAAGACGAGGTGGACCTCTTGATTGTCATTGGTTCTTCACTCAAAGTCCGACCAGTTGCCCTCATCCCAAGTATGTTTTATTCAGAGTAATGGATTTCTAGCCTCTGTAGGATGCATTTAATAGCTAGTATGTCTCTGTTGTGTTTACCAGCAGTGTGTTACTGTTTCCTTTTGTTTTTCATCTAGACTCCATTCCTCATGAAGTGCCTCAGGTCCTGATCAATAGGGAGCAGCTGCCTCATCTCAACTTTGACGTGGAGCTACTTGGGGACTGTGACGTCATTGTCAATGAGCTCTGTCATCGATTGAGTGGAGACTTTGAGCAGCTCTGCTACAACACTGTAAGACTCACTGAGATCACAGAGAAACCCCCACGGTTACCAGAACAGCCACCAAGTGAGGCCTTGCCTGCTTCCAGCGACGCGTCTCAGGAGGAGCAGAAGCAGCACAGTACAGACTCAGTAACTACGCCTTCAGAGGAGACAGAAAGTCTGAATGTCACAGAGACTGCTGATAATAATGTTACACCTCAAGAGCCTTGTCCAAATGCTCAGCATCCAAGCGAGGAGACTGCTGAATCTTCAGAGTTACCAGCAGAGGGCACACCAAAAGAGGAGGCAGCTGAACTAAAGAACCAAACCTCCAACCTTGAATTTCGTAGACGATGCTGGATGAGTCGAATCAACAGAAGTCCAATCAGCAAACGCCTTGAGGGTAAGCTTAAGATCATGGTAAAGAAAGCATTGGCATTTTTTATAGTTCAAACATGTATTTAAATATATTTTTGGGGATTTTAAAGTGAAACATGAGGGGTGTTCATACTCAGACGGTAATGTGTTGCCCCACTAACTAAACCTTTGCTCAACAATATGTTTTTTTTTATTTACAAACATATTAATACATCTAATTCAACTCATCCACATATTAACCATTAACAAGCAGCTGGCAAAGATACACAATAATATATTTATTTAAAATGTTCTGTATTGTTTCCCACAGCAGGCCAATACCTGTTTCAAGCACCAAATCACTATATCTTCCATGGGGCCGAGGTCTATTCCGACTCGGAAGATGAGACATCGAGCTCCTGTGGGAGTGACAGCGACGAGTCAGAATGCAGTGCCGAAGGGGTGGAAGACGACAGCGAGCCGGAGGACGCTGCCACACCAGCAGCAGATGGAGAGACATGCCTCAGAGACACATTACAACACACTTCAGCTGACGAGGCCACATCAAGTGTGCAGATAGACAATACTTCTGAACAGACTGAGAGCACCACACACCTTTAAATATACAGCACCCAGTCGACAAAGCACTAATTGTCTTTTTATATATATATATATATATGTCTATGTTTCATATATTTTTGACTCATCATCCGTACTATTATTTTTCATAAAGTTGAAACTGCGTGACAACTTTGTGTGAATATGCAGCAGGTTTTTTTCCCCTTTTTTTTTGTTCACAGTTTGGTCACATGCATTGTGTCTGAAACTACATACTGTATGCTACTTACTAAACAGAATGCAGTAGTTAGATTTTTTTTTTTTTCCTTTTTTAGGCTTTCTTTCCATGTGCTCATCTCATCATTTTGCATTTCCATTTGAAGAAACTTAGTTTATGCTCTTATCGGCTCTGTCGTACCGCAAATGCAGCACTAGATTCAGCTTTAAATTCTAAATTGCAGTCATTATAGGCAACGATTTCAAATGTTGATCTCAGTCCATGGTGTGGTGTCAGCTGTGGTCTCATGATATGTTTAAGAGTTGATTCATGTTACCATTGGGAAACATGTAAATATGTAAGCCTACTGCCTGATAAATAGTAGGTACTATGAGTTTCAGACACATACATAAATCTTCAGACGGTTTACTTGAACATATTGTATAATTTGCAATATAGAAAGCTTGGCTCTGCCCTATCATGAGGCTCTATGGTGGAAAAGGAAAAATGGTAATCTTTAATTTTAGACCAAAGAACACTTTATCAACACGCTCCTATGTTGTCATAAGCTTTGTATGTTTAACCTGTCATTTAAATCTTGGAAAAAATATAATTATTGACAAGGTGTTCCTTCTGACATGTGGCAGCTACTTTTTATGGTCAAGCTTCTTATTTTTGTACTCTGTGAGACATACTCATCCAAGGGTAGATGATAGTTTTTATCTGTACAAAAGCTGAGTTGTTATATTAAGCCTTAGGAATATATTCACATTGAGAATGGCACTTTTTCTCCTTATAAGAACGGTTTTGTTGCTCATGTCATTTTTCATAGAGGAGAAAGGCTGCCTGTAAAGGTAATGTGTTGGTATATGGACATATTTGAGCCAGTTTGTTGGATACATGTCTACGCCGACGTAATTCACATGCCATTTACAAGGTAATGTTTTGTTTACGATTTAAGGAAATAAGAAATTTTTACATCATTATAGTTGTTATCTCTCCTGGGGTTCTCAGTAAAAACAGAATGAAAAGCTCTGAGCACTTATTTCTGTTCTTTCAAACACACCTGCCAGGTGTTCACATCAGTATCCACAATGAGATGGGGACCAGTGCGCCACCTGGTGCCTCTGGGATTAAACTGCCAGGCCCTCAATCAGTTTATGAACTTTAAATTAAGTAACACAAGAGCGAGTCGAATGTCCTAATTTTATACGATGAGAAAATGTGTGAAACAGCAATATTTTACAATATATTGACGTTAGTTGGCAGGATTGGGGATTACAATACTCTCGCCAAGCGTCTATTTGCGCATGCGTAGTAAGGGTTCTACTTAATGCTTCGGTGTAATATTAAGCTAATCAAATTTAATAACACTCGGTTCGTTCATGTTTAGCTTTAGTGGGTTCAACACAACACTGTCCAGTCGAATATGGTCCACGTAAATGCGGCATGGCAACTTTATTTAGCCATCCTCCATGAAACTACATTTCCCAGTTTTCCCTGTGGTGTCCTGTGATACGACATGTCGTAAAAAATTCCGTTAACAACAGCAAAAAAGCGAGATGGACACCGCCGAAGACGCCTGACAGTTTTTGTTCTTTATCCTTTATCTGAAATGTTTGTCTATCTCGGCGCTCAGGACCGCTTGTGAAGATGGAGGCCATGGAGGACGACAGTTTGGACATAAAAGACGACCACAACCACAACTACTGTGCGAGCGGCAGCAGTAAAGTCCGCACGTATCTTAGCAGCCAGCTGTCGGATGTAACGACGGTCCCGCAGCCCGTCTGTGCGACGGTGCCGGGAGGAGAAGCTGGGAGTCGGCAGGGGAAACTGTGGCCCGGTGGCACCGGAGGGTCAAAGTTCATGGACTCGGATACCGGCAGCGAGAGCAGCGAAGTCAGTGAGACGGACTGTGCAGCTCCTCCAGCCGCTGCAGAGGGAAAATTCTCCCTCGATTCTACTTCCAAGTTCCGTAAGTTGAGTTGATAGCAGGGCCTGTAGTCAGCCAGCAGCTCGGCCTCTGGGTGTTTTACTACAGTGTGTAGAGAGGGATGCTCCTGGCAGCATGTCACAGCGTTCAGCCTGATGAACCTTATTTCTGACCAGCTCTCCTCTTCTCTGTTAGTTCTGAATGCAATGGCTGTCGAAGACTACAGGAAAAACCACTGGCCAAACCTGGAGAAGGCCATTGACCGTCTGCTGATCCAGAACCCCACAGACCACATCTCTGTTTCCTATGCACAGATATACAGGTAAACACACCTGAACTGGGCTACGACAGTATGTGAATTCTGCTGCCTTGAGGAGCCCCATAAAGTTGTCATGTGCATCACTGGCAGCTGTAAAGTAGGACTAGATTCCTCACTGCATTATATTATATTATATTTTATAGTGCTATCAGGTGACTCGATGCAGAAAAGACACAAATTGGTGCATGAAAATGCATCAGAAAGCAGAAAATGAAGTGTTTGGTGCTCATACTTTGTTGGGGCAGGACCTCCATACCCTCCACCTGTCAACGATCAAAAGATATCTACATCCATAATTGTGTATAACTCAAAATGCTGGGTTTCTTCACGACTCTGAGTTTCTATTCCGATTTGTTTCCTAGTTACATCTACAAGTGTGTTTGTCAGCAGCACTCGGAGCTGCTCTACAGTGATCTGACATCAAAAATAACCAGTCACCTGCAGCAGGTTTCCACCCATCTACAAGTAAGCGGCGCCAAAGACATGGAAGTTATCATATACAGTATATACAGACACTATATCACTAACACTTTTGTTGTTTTTTGCAGGTCAGCCCACCCGAGAACTTCATTGAGAACTTCAACGTTGCTCTGACGCAATACACAGCTTCTCTTCAATGTATAGTTCCTGTATTTATGTACTTGGTAGGCATCATTTGTCGTTGTTTGTCAAATATCTGTTGTAAAGACACTAGAAATTGGACTATCACATTATATTGTTAGCACATTCCATGCAACCAAGTATAGCTTTGTGTTTTGTTGTCACCTATATTCAATGCTTCTCTTTTACTTCCCTTTTTAATCTTTGCAGAACAAGTTCTACATTGAATCAAAACTGAACAGAGATCTAAGAGAGGATCTGATGAAGCTGTTCGCCGATCACGTCGCAGAAAAACACGTGAACACACTGATGCGTGAGTGTATTTCTTTTTGAGATCTGATGTAATAGCTAAAGTAAATTAATTTGTAGAGCACCTCTAAAAGCTGAGAAGCAGGATAGATAGAAGGAAAACAACAACAGAAAGCTGGACAGTTAGGCAAAAAAATGCAAAACTCAGAATTCATCCATCCATCCAGCATATCCGTGCTGACTTAGGGCGAAGACAGGTCACCAGTCCATCACTGGGCAACACAGAGACACACAACCAAGCACGCTCACACTTACACCTCCAGACAAATTAAGAATCCCCAATTAACCTCAGCATGTCTTTGGACTGTGGGAGGAAACCGGAGCACCCAGAGAACCCATGCTGCACAGGGAGAACATGCAAACTCCACACAGAGAGACCTCAGGCCAAGATTTGAACCAAAGACCTTCTAGCTCTGAGGCGACAATGCTAACCACCGCTCCACCGTGCTGTCCTAAAATATAGAAAAACATTAATAAGGGCCCCCCTATAGCTCACCTGGTAGAGCGGGTGGCCCATGAACAGGGGCTGTAGTTCCCCGATGCAGCGGTTGTGAGTTCAAATCCTGCTCACGACACTTTGCTGCAGGTCTGTCCCCATTCTTCTCCCCCCTTTCCTGTCTCCCTCTACTATTCTAAATAAAGGCAAAAGCCAAAAAAAATATATTTAAAAAAAAAAAAAAAAAAAAAGAAAAACATTAATAAAAGGAAACCAGAAATAAAAGGATGACATCACATATAGCATGTCTATAAAAAAAAAGTTTAAAAAGTGATTTAAAGGAATTCAGTCATTATGTGAGTCTTAAATCCTCAGGTGGCTCATTCTGAAGCTGAGAGGCCTTTGTGGCAGTCACCTACAAAAATGGAGGCACCTTTACATTTAAGCCTTGAGGCTGGAACAGCCAGACAGGTTCAGTTGAGGAGCTACGACTGCAAAGTGGCTTGTATAGGGTCCACATTTGAGCTCTTTAGCTTCGGGCTATTTTCTGTACTGAGACGTCCAATTCTTACCAGGATGCATCATCATACTCAGTTATGCTGAACACCTTACCTGCTCCAGATAACAGATCATCCATCCATCCATTATCTATACACCGCTCAATCCTCATTAGGGTCGCAGGGGGGCTGGAGTCTATCCCAGCTGACTTAGGGCGAAGGCAAGGGACAGGTCACCAGTCTATCACAGGGCTACACTTAGAGATAGACAACCAAGCACACTCACATTCACACCTACGGACAATTTAGAATCACCACTTAACCTCAACATGTTTTTGGACTTGTGGGAGGAAGCTGGAGAACCCAGAGAGAACCCGCAAATCCACGTAGAAATATCCTAGGTGTCCTCACCGGGACGCGAATCGGCGACCTTCTTGCTGCGAGGCAACGATGCTAACCACTGCTCCACCTTGTAGCCCGATCACAGATCAGCATGTATTAAAACATCTTCTGATGACAAATTAATGCTCTTGGAAAATCGCGTCACCATTCCTGAAAGATCCTGCAAAGCTCGGTGTGCAGATAGTGAGAGGGCAAGATAGGAGTTTTAAGAGCTGCAAGCAAGTTTACAGATATTTCATTGTGTTCTATACCTTAGTAGAGAAAACACAAACTGCTGAAAACACTAAAGCCTTATTGCCAACTTGTTGAGCCTATAAAATTAGTGCAGCCCCCAGTACATCTAGTTACTGGGGGCTGCAAGGTGGCTCGGTGGTTAGCACTGTCGCCTCACAGCTAGAAGATCCCCGGTTCGCGTCTCGGTTAGGACGCCTGGGATCTTTCTGCGTGGAGTTTGCACGTCCTCCCTGTGCAGTCTAAGTTCTCTGGATTCCTCCCACAGTTCGAAAACATGCTGAGGTTAATTGGTGATTCTAAACTGTGTAAATGTGAGTGTGCTCGGTTGTCTCCTTAAGTGCAGCCTGCGATAGACTGGCGGCCTGGTGTCCCCTGCCTTCATTTTAATTACTTGACTATCTATTCTTTTAATAATTAGTCTTTTTTGTGATTAGCATAAAGGGACTCTGTATATAATTTCTTTAGTAAATCTTGTGCTGCACGATAATAAATAAACTGAATCCAGAATCTTATATATTTAAAAAAAAAAACTTACATCAGAGAAACTCAATGGGACACAGACTTTGCTACACCTGTGCATTCACAGAGTCTGCAGTGTTTTACCAGCTTGCCTTCCTGCTTTTGGCTTCAGCAGCTGTATAGCTTTTACCCTGTATTATGTTTTAAAACTCCTTATATTGGTTTAGGATTATATCTTTTACTTCTCTGATAAATAGGTGCCTCCTGTCCACGTCTGCTTAGCCTGACTTAAGTGCTTAGGTTATGTTCAGCAGTATAATGAAAAGATGTGTGTATGTTTGGTCGTACAGGCCTCTGGTCTTGGAGGAATGTATTAATCTGTCGTATCTGCATGTTGTCTTGCACAGCAGGGAAAAGATGTGTTTGACAAAGCTGAACCTTGCGGGGAAATTAGTACTCTGCTTGATATAACTGTGCAACAAAGCTGTCACCTCCACTTGTGTCAAAAAAAATTGCTTCCTTTTGCCAAATCACAGGTTGACAGTTTAGTCCATTGTGAAGCCATCTTCCACTCTGGAAAGCAGAGGATGTGTTGCTGAAGAGTGACTGCATTCACACAGTGAAGATTTAATTCGTAGCTATCACCAATGATTTCTGAATCACTTGTTCTTTGCAGCTCTTCTCATCAAAGCCCACTCCATGCCCTTTCAAGTGCAGCCATCAACAATGGCCAGCGTGGTTAAGGGCCTCTACAGCCTACGACCAGGTGACCTATACTTCAGAAAGACAGATAATAAAGAAACATAATGATCTATTTCATGTTGTTCTGATTCACTGATTTCTGGTTTCCTCGTTCAGAGTGGGCCCAGCTCGCTCCTGCTCTCTTCTCTGGGTTTATTCCTCAAATCAACCCTCCTGCTGTGGAGTCTCTGCTGTCGGACTACGCTGCACATGACCAGAAGCTACAGATGGAGCTCTCCATGAACGGATTCCCACGGTCAGTTTTCTTTGGTTTAACATAGAGACTAGTCACAGTCTACGTAAATACGAGGTGTATTCAGGGACCTATAAAAAATGAAAAACCATACATGATTTAAATTCTCATTAAAGTAGGTGTCTTGTGCAACACCTGTAACGCTTAACCGTTATCTGTGAAAGGGGCTGAATATCCTACACAGTGTCACAACAGCGACCCTACAACCTAAATGTCACTGTGCTCTGTTTCCAGAGGTGACCAGTCTCGAAAACGAGCCAGCGAGGACTCCTGATAGCAGCGCCATCTCCACCAGATCTGTTGCACAACTATTACTGTGCCTCCTACGTCTTTATCACAAGTGGTCTCACTGAACTAGGTACAATGCTAACAATGTGTCAGTTTCATTTCTCTCGACTCAAGGTCACAAAACACTGTGAACAACAAAGGAGAACATGATGTTGAGCGGAAACTTACTCTTACTGCACTGATAAAAAGCACACAGACTTCCATTATGGTGCTTCCCCCCCTGTGATTATGATGCGTCTAGCTTCAGTAAGTGTGCGCGCTGGGATGGATTTCCTCATGTTCTGCTCGTTTGAAGAGTGCCTTCGTGGTGTCTGTTCGATGGGATACCCTGACAAAGGGATAGTTTGACAATGGGTATTTCATTCCTAACCTTTAACATGGAAGTGTCTTGTGTTGTTTTTATAGACGGGGCTAATCAAGACTTTCTATTGCTGCTAATAATACTGTCCACGTGTTAATACCACAATCCTTTGGTTTCCCCCACTGTGTGTGTGTAACCCAGTGGCTACAGTCAACACATATCATGAGGAAAGAAGTTGGAACTTAAGTCATTGACCTCAACTATGATTCTCTTCCTCATGTTGCCTTTACTGCATTGGTAAACCAGATTGTATTTTCCAGTTACGCCAAAGAGGATTGCAGTACTTTTTGTGTCTCCTTTATATATAAGGCATTGGATTCAAGCTGACGTGCTATCCAAGTCACTGAGCCATCTAATTTTTTAATACTAACAACTTTTGAGCTTTGGTTTACCTGCGTGTTTATTAGGCTGGAGTCAGATTCTTCCTTTAAATACAGCAGAAGTCAGTGCAGCCCTTTGCAATCTCCCTTAAATGTCAGATGATTCAAAATGTTATTGTCTTGTAGTAAGTGCATTAATTGTTGAACTGTGGGGTATTTGAAAAAAAAAAAAGTGGTTGTTTTTTTTTATATTAAACACACTGACCCACTGTAAGAAACAAAAGTCACTAAGAATCAGATCTTTAATTTTTTCCCTAGTTCTTATGTCCACCGTCATATTTGACGACAGACTCAGTCCTCCTCTGCATGGAAGAGGCCAGTCTAGCACGGATTTCCAGCTCTTTGCTGGAGGGGTTGCATTGTTCTACCGTTCTCTTCAAATACCCCAAAGATGTTCTATGAGATTCAAGTCAGGTGACATTCTTGGCAGGCTTCTTTGGCTTTCTTTCATTTTTAAATTTATTCTTGCAATTTAGTGCCAAAGATCAGGAAAGATTTCCTTTTTTCTTGAAGGCTATCCGTCAAAGTTGATGTTATGAACTGTCCTCCATATTGTCTGAGCTGTGACAGAAACTCTGATTTCTATTAATAACTCCTGTGCCAAGTCTAAAAACACCTGCCTGTCTGTTTTTCAGAGGTAGATTGTCAAAATAACGCGCTGTTCGTGGTGTCATGTTAGGAGATGATACACTTTGGAATCATTTTGATCATTAAAGGGGTTTTGCACAGGGCTGCTCTCACTGCTGTCATATACTGTAACCTATTTGATGTTTCACTGAGTGTCAGGAAGCTTACAGAACTACACAACAGTATTTGATGATTTCCTCATTTTTCTTCAGCTTGCCTGAATTGTCCCTTAACCTGATGCTTCATTGATTTAACAAAACAAATGATATGCAAATATGTTTAGGTCTGGCACACTTGTGCATTAAATGTTCCTAACATGTATAGCCTGTTCATGATGTAAATAGTTTGTTTTTTTCTCTGCGTAGCGCTCCATGTACATTAGCTATCGTCATAGATGCTTTTTTTTTTTCCTTTTTCTTTTTTAAGGATTCACTTGAAATAGAAGTATTTGATACAAGGTCTTACACTGTTTTAAGTGTGATTAGATGCTCAGGCTTGCTTTTTGTTTCAAACATGGTTATCATCTGTCTAATAAACTAATTTTATGACTCATGGGACACAGGGCACAGAGGTGATTCTGTTTTTCGTTATTCAAGATTTAATTGGGTCTTGATCTCATCAATAAGTAGGCATTACAGAAAAACAAACTGATACAGCAGAGGGAAATCTGAATCAGTGCTGATGCCAAACACTGGATGTTCTAAGTTACTTCTATCACGTTTTCTTTAACATTCTATATCCACGTTATGACTACTGTGAATAAAATTCCACTTGCCTCAAAGAACTGTTTCAGAAATCTGTTTCAGAGGTATCTTTTTTACCTGAAACCAATGAAACCCTTGGATCCAAGTGATTGTCACACTAATGACGGATGTTCTCCTGCCTCGGTTTGTGTGCTGAAATTGATTGACGGTGTTCACCTGCAGCGTTGACGGTGTGTGTGAGAGAAGTTCCACAAGGGGCTTCTAATTCTGTTGGACGGAGGTCTCTGATGGACCACTGGAGGAGGAATCCCTTTACAGCACGCCCCCCCTGGCCAATGAGGTGGGACGCCACCCAGACACATGGGCCAGGCCTCCCCAAAATAACCTGCGACCACTGCGCTGACAAATGTTACTACTTTTACTGGTGACAGGTTGCCGTAGCTACTCGGCTGCACATTTTCCTGTAAACTTCAAGGTTAACTCTGCACGAGAAAACCCCGGGAAGGCTGGGCAGCTGCCTGTGTTCGACATCTTCCCCCGGTGGCAGCAACCGGAAGACTGGAATCTCCCTCTTTCAGCACAGGTGCACTCTTGAGGATTTACCAGCCCTCCACGGGGGCCAGCTGGGTTTATTCTAAAGGTAAAACACGCCACCCCCCCTAATTTAATTGTTCACAGTGTCCCATTGACTGTGTTGTGGCATCAGCCTCATATGCTGTGTATAGCCTCAGAAAATCTCTGACATTGAGCCTCAGACAAGCTCGGCTCTATTTCTGCTTGACTGTTATGCTCCTATTTAATTGAATTATGTTAACCTGCCTGGATGTGTGAAGGGGCCGTTCGAGTGTGTGGGCTGCGACCGGGTTATCTCAGTCATCAGTGTCCCATTTATGATAATTATAGTTGTGTTTGTGTAATTTGATTAATGTGTGTTGTGACTGATCAAAATGAGGCCCACAGGATGAGCAGCATTGCTTTTTTTTTGTGTTGATTTTCTTCATGTAAACTGACCCCTGGCTATTATTAGATATGACTTGGTGGGCTTGGAGCCTGTTTGCAAAGGATTAATGTACACAACAGCTGCAGCGTCAGGTCTGTTGGAAGGGCATTGCCGTGTCTCTTAATTGCACTGATTTGAGTGTCAGTAGCATATGTGTACCCTATCTCGTGTCTGTATTCAATAACTTGCTCATGCCTGGTGTCAAAAAGTTGTGCAAAGTTTAAACGTCACTAAAATGTTGGTATGAGGTGGACATTGGGGGGAAAAAAGCCCGCTTGTGTCCCATCAGATCTGGTGTCGGCGCATGAACCTGATACCCTGTTGAGGCTTGAGGAAGGCTGAATTTAGGCTAAAATAAAAAGCTATTTTAACCCCATATCCCCTGCTTTTAACGGCGGGCTGTAGTCATGGGCTGTGTTTGTGCTGAGGAATTGTTTTAACATAACGTTAGGGTTAATATTAATGTGAGTCTTATTGACCAGATCTGCTTTGAATTTATTTAACTGCTTTCAAGCAAGTGAAAAATAACATTCAAAATAAGCATTTAATAGTTTATTCTACCATATTTGACCTATTTATCCATAAGGGTTAACACCACATTTGCATATTTAACATTTCTTGTAATACAATGACTGTGTTAATGTAAGTTATGAACTGGGAAAGTTTCCCAGTGATATGTATTCGTTACAAGTTTTATTCGAAAGTTGTGGTTGCCAATACAAATGTATGGATATTGCATTACATATCTTTAAAGAGCAACGTGCAAGATGAATTTTTTTCCTACACTTATATCTAATATTTCTTGGAAATAAACATTTAAAAACTTGATGCACGATTTGATATGTTTTCTACGACATAAAAGCAAAAATCCAGATCATAAAGTAGGCATTTAGACCACTGCTCTTCTTGTTCGCCTCAGAGTCGTCCACTGATATGTTACAGCAAACTATACGGTGCTGAAATACAACACAGCGTTATGACTTGATCAAATGTCAGTCACTCACCAAGACGCCACCGCTGACCTCGTACCACACATCTCGCTGATTGCAGTTATTTCTCCTGATTCATATCTGTTCCTGGTCTTTGTGACACCCAGCAACCTCATAATTTTAAATCTGTGATCTGTCATGTGCATCTAGATATTCATTTGAACCTCTTCATTGTCAAAAACACTGTTAGGATTAATTTTCTGTTGTTAAAATAGATCTAGTTTGGCTGCTCTCCCTGTTGTGACGACCAAGTTGGGTTTTTTTTTTTTAAACGGCCAGAAAACCGACTCTAAACATTGTTCATTGTTCTTCATTCATATCCTTATTTATATAATGTTATCCCAAAATATGCAGCGAAAATGTGTCTTTGTGGCAGGATACAGAACTTCAGATTAATGGAGTTTAAAACAAAAAATAAAAAAAATGGAAAGGGAGAATCTCTTCCATGAAAACCTTGAATCTGGTTTAATCCAATATTCAGATTTCTGTTCAAGAAATTAATGCAAATTAGCAAATATTTAAATGGCGAACACCTAGTTTACAATAATTGTATTATAGTTTTTGTAAATAAACATCTGTTTTATGATGATACTTATTCTAATAATTTTATCGTATTCTCCTCCAGTGTCTTCCCTTTAAGAACCTTGTATGTTTACATCACACTTTACATTACTCTATGAATACAGCTAGTTTCTCAGTTGATCCATAAATCATTTATTCTTTAAAACATCAGAAAAATGAAACTAATATCTGGTTATTTCAATTTCAGTTTAATAGTTTAGAGTCTGAAGTATGTGCAGATGAATGTACGTTTTGCCAGTTATGGTAATAGACTGCTGTGGGAAACTTTGATGTTCAACAGCTGAGAGTTGACTAACGGCAGCTTTGTCTTGCAAGATCTTAATAAATTCACATTATTCTTTACAATATCGGTGTTTGCCACCTCTTTGTCCTCAAGTATTTAATTTTCTAAATGCTGTATCTCCGATAACAGTGTCTGCTCTATCTAAAGATTCACTGAGACAGATGTTAATCACTGGTACTCCCTTTATTTTGGCATTTCCATCCTCAGATATTTATCTAATTAAATTTTTACAGATGAGGGTCTGAGGGCCTAAATATCATAAATAAAATAAGTACAAGTGATGTACAGTGTGCAGAACTCATCACTTCTTTCACAGCCTCTTGTCAGCATAAGTGGACTTGTTTGCATTTATATACTTTTAAATGAATGTCTTGTGCTTATTTCAGCAACATGCAAGAGAACACCATCGACCAGCCGCCGTCACTGTCTCAGCTCCTGAGGGAGAGCTACCTGGCAGAGGCCAGAGCACAGCAGCGCCACAGCGAGATGAGCCGCTCAGACGCTTCCTCCTCACGCCTTCAGATCTACGGTTCACTAAAAGGCAAGGCTGAGGACACCGTGGGCCACAATGATCCCCAATTCACCGACCTGTCAGCCTTCCTCAGCCAAGAGGAGCTGGACAAGAGCGTGAATCTGGCCCGCCAGGCCATCGGACACGAGCCTCGTGAGGAGAGGGCAGAGGTCAAGGCCTCTGTCACGCCAATAACCCCCTCCAGCATCTCCTCAGCCTCAGTTCCTTCCTCTGCACCCTCTTCTGTTCCCTTATCTAACCCCTCTCCTGCTGCCTTCGCTGCCCCCTCCACTGCGCCCTTCACTCAGCCAGCCCCTGAACTTAAAGAACTGCCAGCAACACACACCACATTCACACCCGACAGAAAGATGCACAAAGCATCCACACGGCAGGACAACATGATCAGGAACAGCAGGGAGTCCAGCGAAAGCTTCCAAGACTATAACAGGTCAGCGAGGAACGCCCCGTACGGTGTGGAGACCCAGTCCAAGAAGGAGTTCCTTAACAAGGCAGCCGACTTTATAGAGGAGCTCTCCTCTCTCTTCAAGGCCAACAGCTCCAAGCGGGTGCGACCGAGAGCCTGTAAAACCCACAGGAGCAGGGTCCAGAACAAGAGCCAGAACGATGGGACGGTTTATCCCCTCAGCTCTGACAACAGGGAGCGGTCCGCCCTGCCTGTGGACGTGGAGAAGGAGAGACCCAGCCCTGCTGTCAGCCACCAGCCGGTCCAGCTGGACCCCGAGACTGGACATGTGGAGTTTCAGGACTGCAGGATTACTGAGGAGCAGCAGTATGACTCAGTGCCACAGGAGGCGGAGGAGGAGGCTGAAAGCTTTGCCCTGACAGACACAACATACCCCGCGGAGCCTGTGTGTGAGCCGCCTCACTTCATCCAGAAACTGAAAAGCAGGGAGGTTGCAGAGGGCAGCAAGGTCCAGTTGGACTGCATCGTAAGAGGACTGCCTGTGCCTGAAGTGCGGTAAGAAAACCAAAACTGTCAGTCTGAGTTCTTTCAGTTGTCTCATTGGTTTATTTCTCAGTTTGCAGGAAGAACTCTCCACATGCTTCCAGGCTGCTTTCAGAGTTGTCTCATTGACCAAAAAAAAAAAAAAAAGTCTGGTGAGCAGCAGCAGCATCCCACTGGAAGCTTAGGATAATTCATCTGGTTTATCTTGAGTATTTAGAGGTGAGAGGAGACGAAAACAAGAGTTTAGGATAATATGTTTACCTGTTGACCTTATGCTATAAAATATATATGTGTGTGTGTATATATATACAATTAAATACAAAAGCAAAACTTAAAAAAATAAAACATATATTAAATTAAGACTTCAGTAGAAACAATGCAATTATATGATATAAAATAATATATCACTCATGGGATAATGTTTCTGAATTATGAGAACATTTAGCTAATATACTCTTACCTGTAGTAAAGTATTTTGATTTTATATATAATACAAAATGCACTTTAAAGTAGAATTTATTAAATGTAAGTCATGTAACAGATTAAATAATTCTCTAACAGAACTGTCTCAACTTCTACAAAATAAATATTGAAACAAATATATTTATCAGACAATTTTAAATCATCATAAATGTACAGTTCTTCCAATACATTGCATGTTATCAACCATGTTTGAGGTAATTTAGGATTTTTTTTTCAGCTGTAAAACGTCCCAGTCTGGATTTATCACTTTGTCTCTATTCTTTAACAACCACATGTACAGGATCAAAATCTTTTTTCAGTTTGTTTTATTCAGAAAAATATATGTATTGATCAATTTAGCGTTATAAGATGAGTCACATGTTGATACGCCTGCAGTGTTTGTGAGAAAGTGTGCGACTGATGCTGTAAAAAAAATGAGCCACTACGATAAGTTAACTGAATAACTACAATGAAGCGTACGTCGGGATGAGTGATGCAGTGTTTTCTTGGCAGATCCACACAGAAGTGACATGTGATGAAAGCCAACAGCTGATTCTGAATGGTGGAGTGTGTGTTTGTGTAGGTGTGTGTTTGTGTGTGGTCAGGGCAGTAAATGATAATCGCACGAGTCTCTCTGTCGTTGAGTCGACCACCAGTCATCCTAATTATTAAATATTCTGCATTCAAAATGTGTTGAAATACGAGACGACTGTCCATTTGTGTTGCATTTAGTTGAGGCTTTTAGTTTAAATTCTTTGTGTTAATATTTGTCTTCTGCCTCTTTGTGCCTGTTTTTTTAAGATTTGTTAAATGTGTTTTAGTTGGGCTTCCAATTCCCTTCCTTGGCAACAAAGAGAGACTTGAAAGAGTGTAGCCGGGGTGTCACGCTATAGGGGGCATGGGCTTCTTAGTCCTACTGAACATTGTTGAGCCACTAACTTATACTTGTCCGGGGAGAATGCAGCTCTCGGCCATTTTTAGACCGGACAGGCAATGCGAGCTGTAGTCACGTCTGATAATGGAACCGACTGAGCTCTTGACAGAAGCATGAAGACTTTGGTAAGATGATTTATACAGTTGTTGCTCGCTGGGTATCTTTATCTTTATCTGTAGCTGTTGGCACTAGTGTCTTACAAATGTAGATGTGTGAAGATCTGAGCTCTGCTTCAGGGGTTCCTACTTGAAATCTAACACTGGGTTCATGCTTTTGTAAGTTTTACTAACACAAAACACTATTAATTCACTTTAACGTGATGTTTGTACATCAGCTTCTGTGTGTCTGAGTCAAAATAAAGTTGTCAGGTTCATATTTCCCATCAGTTGGCGGTGCGTGTGCTGTCACTTGTGTGTCAGGGTAAAGCATTGTGTGTGTCCTGGGTCTATGTTTAGCATTGTGCGTATGAGATTGGGTCAGCCAGTCAGAGATCCCAGGCTCCACCGGGAATCTCCTCTCTGGTTCTGATCTCTAGAGGGGAAAATAGCCCAGACAGGTGCAGCGAGCAGGGTCTGCTGCTCACCGACCGGCCACCTCCTCGACTACTCATGCTTTCAATTTAGGCCCTTACTCAGTAGAAATGACATCGCTCGGCTCGGGCAGAACTCAGCCAGCGCATTCCTGCAGCGTCGCCCGGGTTGCGTCCGAGTATCAGGAACAGATCTCTGCTGTGGCTTTTTGTTTTCACTGGAAGCTGCACGAGAGACACCAAAGTTTAGATGATATCCGACCAGGTTGTGACGTCTGGAGTTTGGGGCAGTTTCAGCCACGGCGCTGAGTGGTGTCACTGGCTGCTTATTTAACTGTCACATAGATGATCTTGGTGAACGTGCTGGATAAGATTCATGACTATATGATGATGTTTTGCCAGACAGTAATGCATCACCTCATTCCTCTTTGTTTACTGGCTGGATTTTTATAAAGCATCGAGGCCTCATCTTCTCAAAATAGATGCACGCTGACATAGAGGCTGCTGCATATGTTGCTGGTCAGGACAGGGAAGAAGTTAGACGTCTACTATTATAGTTTTACAATGAAAAAATAGACTGTTGCCAACTGCAACTCCAGGGGACTACATGTTGCTGAGAAGGTGTGTAATATCAGCCAGGTGGGAGGTTTTTCCTACCAGTTATAGCACATTTTAATATGACTTTTTATACAGTAATTCCTAATTTAAGAGCATCAAATATTTATTGGCTTTTGATGCTGACCTAATGTAACCTCGTTTGAGTTGCAGCAGGCACCTTTATCGCATCCTTTCCACGTTTCTCCTCTCATGTGATAAACAACTTAGAAAACACAAATTAGATAGTAAAGTGCATCTATCTATTATTACCTTTAAAACCTGGACAGCCTTTAGATCTGCTCCTCATCTTCACAACATCAACAGTGCACTGAAGCGGCCTTTAAACTGGCACGACAGGCTGCTGTCGCTTCTTGTCTTACAGGGAAAGGGATAGGGCTTGCTCATCAAAACGTTTTCCTCTTGGCCTGGATAACTCCACTGAGTGGCACCGAGCCAGAAGCAGTATTAGGGCACTGGGAAAGATACCACACGACGGTAGTGGGAGCAGCCTCATAGAAACAGTGTCAGAAGGTTAATAGAAGAGGAGGGGGGAAAGAGAACTGTGTGAAGACTGGGTTTTAAATGAAATGAATGGGTGGAAGAGTCTTAAAATATCCTTAGAGATGAATTAAATAAAAAAATTCCTTGTCAATACATGGATCAATTAACATGTTTTGAATCAGCGTGTCTTCATCAGGGTGTGAGGTGTATTAGAAACAGGTGCTGCATTGCATGAAGTTTGGACTTTTATATCTAAATCAGAGTATCTCTGACTTTTTTGGGGGCTGCTGACCAATACTATGGGTTTCCATTAATAAGAAGAAGTAGGATAGTGCTTATTTTTTCACCTCTGCTTGACCGCTAATCCATTCTTTGAAGAGCACATGGTTTTGGAATCTTCCTGTTTTTATTCTGCAAACTCTAGTGTTCAAAGTAGATTACTTGCAGATGAAGAAAAAAACTCAAGTCATGTTGCTGACAGGTGACAAATTTAACAAAAACTTAATAAATAAATGGAGAAACAAATGAAGGGTTCAGTTATATATATAAAAAAAGTCTTAAATCCAAGTATGTTTGGAAGAAAGCACATGTTCGACCCTGTCCAGCTGCATCAAAGCTCACCATGATTGTCCTGCAAACAGCTCAATATATTCTGTTTATATTAACACAAAACTCATGGAAATAACAGAAATTTGTTGTGCTAGCAGGAGCTCACAATGCTAACTGAGCAGTTTGCTGTTTCTGCTAACTACAGGTGGTTTTGTGAGGGCAAAGAGCTGGAGAACAGCCCTGACATCCAGATCGTCACCAACGGCGAGCTGCACTCTCTGGTCATCGCCGAGGCGTTCGAGGAAGACACTGGACGCTACTCCTGCTTTGCTTCTAACTTCTATGGCACCGACTCCACGTCAGCTGAGATCTATGTAGAAGGTGGTTCTTGCGTTTCTTTCTTATTGACACTTTTATGGACTCATATATGAACATCCCTGACTGACGGACGATGCACACTTGTTTGTTCGATCCTTCAGGTGCCTCCTCTTCGGACTCTGAGGGGGAACAGCACTTTGAACATGTAGCCCAGTGAGTTTATAACCTAGAATCATTATCAGCACCCAATAGAAAAAAGGATCCCATCATTTAAAACACTAAATGACATCATTTCCTTTTTCCTTCTGTGATTTTTTAAAGGCTGCAGAGAAAACAACCAAAGTCATCGCCGTCTTTACCTCCATCATCAAACGAAGCTGTCCCTGAAGAAGAGGAAGATTCCTTCCAGCCTGCAGCAGCTGCTGAGGAACCAGCAGAGGAGCTCGTCTCCCCAACAACTAACCAAATCCCAGTCCCAGAACCTCTTCTACCAGTCCGGACATCTGCTGCGATATTCACAGTCCCTGAGCTCTCTAAAGTATCTGTGGCATCCACAGAACCCCCTGCTCAGGAGGAGACATCAGTGTTGCCTGTGCAGGTGTTTTCTACTTCATCAGGTGATACAGAGGTTACAGAAGCCCTGGAGGTGTCGGCACCTGTCCCTGTCATATCGACACCACAGCCGGTGCAGACAGCCTCAGTGATAGCTACGTCACTGCCGTTAAACTCAACTGTGCTTCCTGTTCTGTCAGCTCCAGCACAAACACCCCAACCTGAGGTGGAATACTTCAAACACTTTATCCTCAAAAATGTCACATTTTAGTTTTTTACATTTTGATTAACATGTCTTCTGTGGGGTTCTTCTTCTTCAGACTCAAACTTCCAACCACAACTATCCACAAGGTTTAAACGGCCAACCAATAATGGCTGCCCCTGTGTTCACAAAGGTAGAGTCATTCTCCAAATGACCTTCAGTTTGCTTTGCTGTATGTTTACTGATGTTCAGCCTTTTCTCGTCCCACCAGAGCCTGCAGGACTTCCTTGCATCAGAGGGCCAGCTGGTGGTGCTAGAGTGCCGTGTGAAAGGGGTGCCCTCACCTGGAGTGGACTGGTACAGAGACGGAAAACTCATCGAGGACTCTCCTGATTTCAGGATCCTGCAGAAAAGTAAGCTCGGCTGCCGTCCCACTGCTGTCACACTGAACACATAGCATCTAACAGGGAACTCTTTCTTTAGAAGCTTGGTGGACAGCAAGGAAATAAAAACACAACAACACAATAAAAACATTAGTACTGTCTTCATATTGCCAGTGCTTGTTAATGAGCTCAAAAAGCTGTTGCAAAATATTTTGAGTTTGAAGACCGTTTTAGTGAACATCATGTTTTATTTTTACCCTGTTAACATGTCCATATGGTGATTTTTAAATACTTAAAGACATCAGGACCAAATAAACAATCAGGTCTTTGGGTTTTCATATTTACCAAACCTAAAAAGACAATCATGTTCAAACATGCATGACTGAACTACTCCAATATTACAACTTACCATTGTGTGGCATAGAGCAGTTTCAAAGTGTTTGCAAGTGAGCCGAAGTGCTCGAGCTGCAGTGGGCGACGGAGGGATGGGTGAAGAATGAGGTAGACACTTTATATATCAGAATATTCTAAAGCAAGCCACAGTGTAGAGTTACAGCTAAGCCATTTGAAAGCATGAAGAGATTATTTTCATGAAAAAAAAAAAACTCTTTCTAAATATGTAACTTTAATACACAGACATGAGTTTTGGGGGTTTAATGAATGACATAAATCTCTGCATCAACGTATTAATGCACTTTCTGCACTTACAGCAGCATAAATATAAAACATTTACTTCTTAAAGGAAATTTTAAAAAAGAGAGAGAGAGAGAAATAAGAGTCATGTTGCAACACTGGTTGGGGACTGACATATGATCAGTGAATCTCATAAATCTAACTATATTTAACCATAATATCAGGTGTTTAATTTTATTGCAGTTTCATAATAATTTTGGTCCTTGTTTCTGTTTCAGAGCCCAGATCTCCAGCTGAATCAGGTACATATCTCATTACGTCCTCATTTGTACAAAAAAAGTGTTGACTGCACCAAAGCAGCTGCGTGTCTGCATATGATGCTGCAGTGTGTACATATTACTGTGTTGAAGTGTTTATAGTCGTTGGCCGAGGCTTCTGCTCTTCTTCTGTACATAAGCCAGGGCCGCTTTTCCCTGACTCTGGACCATATAAGGTAGTCTCTCATCCTGTGTCAAACAACCATGGCAGATCACTTCTTACTGCCGGTGCTGCACATAGACTGTGAGCCCCAGTGGTACAAAGAAACCTCATTGCAGAGCATTTCAAAAAACGAGTCATGCATCTTTCCTTAGTGCACTGAGACTCTTTGCTGATCAAGAAATGAATGAGTCAGACTTGATTATGTGAGTATACCTTTTTCTCCTTCACCTCTAGAGGAAATATGCACTTTGGTCATTGCTGAGGTCTTTCCTGAGGATTCGGGGATGTTTACTTGTACAGCAAACAACAAGTATGGAACCGTGTCTAGCACCGCTGCACTGAGGGTCAAAGGTAACACTTCTCGTTCACTTTTTAGACAAACCAGCTGCTGTGGCATTCCTATTCCTACACTGATTGTCCATCTTTCTAATTCTCCTCAGGCAATGGCAGCAACAGCAACCACGTGAGGCCTTTCAGCAGTTCAATGGTGGAGCCTAATCGAATCCAAGAGCCTTCCCCATCAGTGCCTACTGTAATTCCTCAACCAGAGTTTGCTGTAACCAGCAGCATCAAGCCCCACTCCAGCACCATTCGCCTCGACCCACTTGTCTCCAGCACCTTACGACTGGACCCTTTAAACACCAGCACCCTCCGTCTGGACCCCCAAAGCTCGAGCATGTTGCGTCCAGACCCCCTTCGCACCAGCCTGCCCAGTCTGGAACCTTCCAGCCTGACCACTAGCTCTGGCCTGAACTCTCGCAGCACCAGCACCCCAAACTTAGACCCTCTCCACCTCCACCAGGACCCTCCTGCTTCCAGTGGAGCACCTCCACAACCACAGAATGTCAGACCAATTTTCTCATACCCAAAACCCTTCATTGCTTCATCTACAGTTGAGACATTAGCTCAACAGGAAGTGTCCAGACCTGCAGCAATATCGCCTGACACGAGCTCCAAAGTTAGGAGGACCTCAAACCATCAGAATGGGAGCCCCGTCGTGGTGCCCCTGCCTGACCCTCCACCCAACTCCTGCCTAAAGTCAGGCAAACTGAAAAACCACAAAGCGTCACGCTCCAGCTCCAGAGTGGGTCTGCGTGTGCACTTCAAACTGCCTGAGGATGAGGAGGAAGAGCAAAGTGATGTATCCGGTCACTCTGATGAAGACATCACTGAGATGTTGTTCAACAAAGAACCTCCACCTGTGCTGGCTAAACCCAAACTGTGAGTAGAGCAAAGAGAAAACAACCACATGCAGATGAGTCTATGTAATAAAGAAGTGACTGTTTTGCCCTGATTTGCAGCAGGTTAAAAAAAAAAAAAAAAACTGTACTAGCAGATGAAGATTTAGTACATTGCTTACCAAAACCGAGTCCTAACTTTGCACTGTATTAACATGAGTGTGATGGGCTGTGTTAACAAAAGCAGAGGAGGTAGGCGGTTCCTCCTCCCCGAGCTCAGATAGAAGCTGTAATCATTTCGAATCAAAAATGAATGCATGAGGACTTCAAATGTGGACCTTCCGGCTTTCTAAAACGAAGGATGGCATTTATTATTTGTAAGTTCACTTTTATGCATTTATGTTGACTTAATATTTCATAAAATTAATTTGATATGATCTTGCTTAATGATTGCTGGTATTTTTTTTTTTTATATGGCATCGCAGGCTAAAATTCAAAGATAACTAACAGCCCTGTATAGTTTACTGTGAGTGAATCTGCAGTATTTTGAGGATAAATAAACGCTAACACCCTGTTTAGGCGTACAGCTCAGTGTGTGCAGAGCTTGGACGGTGTTGTTTGTAGGCTACTTGTTTGTAGTCCTTAAAAGGACAGAGTATTCCTCGTGCTGACTTTGGCTCCTTCCTGCTGGGCTTTTATGAGAACGGTGCGCTGAGCCTCTCTCATCCTCACCATGTATAGTTTTGCTTCATTTTGCTTTTGCTTGACCGGCAGGGATCCAGCTCAGCTCCAGCTTCTGCACAACCAGGTCCTCATGGAGCAGCAACAGGACCCCGACCCTCCGACCCAAACCCACGTCCAGCCTCAGTCCCACCCCCCATTCCAGATCCAGCTCCAACCCGAGGTCCAAAGCTCCCACGAGGCTCCGGTGTGGTCTCCCCGAGTGCACCGTGAGCCCCACGTGCCACCTTTTCAGTCATACCTCAACACGACGGCGACGACCCCGCAGCAGGCGCCTCCCTCTGCACCTCCGCTGACCACCGCCCCCCCTGCTCCCTCACTGACCTCTGCTCCAGCAGTCAACATCACCTTTCCACCTCTTCTCAACTCCTCTCCTGCTCCACCTTTGAGCTCCCTTCCTTCGATTCCTCAGCTTAAGACGTCCTCCCTGGTGACCTCCCCTCCTCCTGCCCCACAGCTCAACGCAGCTCCTTCACACAGCATAGCACCAGTAACCCAGACCATCCATGCCTCCCACCTCAACCTGTCCCCTGCTGCTCTTTCCAGAACACCACCCACACCCCAGTTTTGCTCTCCTCCTGCACCAAGGCTCAGCACAGTCCCTACAGATTCAACCCCGGCCTTACAGCAGATCACATCTCCTGCTCCTCTCCTGAGAAGCACCCACGCCTCCCTCATGAATCTCTCCGCCATCTCCCACACCTTCAACTACGCCCGGCCTAAAGAGTTCATAGCAGCTCAGACCTTCTCTCCGGTCCGGAGTCCTTCCCCGACAGAATCACCGGTCCCTCTGCTGCACGAGCTGGCGGCTGAGCTCAACTCCTCCGCAGCCAGCTCCCCTACTCTGCCGCCTTTCTCCCCACCGCCCAGGATCTTCCCCACACGGGTGCTCAAGTCTCCCACCAGCCCTCCGTCCCTGGTGTCCTCGCCCACCCCGGGGTCGGCGCCGTTCCTGAACAGTGTGTTCGCCTTACGAGCCCAGTCGCCCCCTCAGGCCTCTTCTCCCACCTCCAGCAGCTCCACCCCCAGCCCCATTCAAAACCCAGTAGCCTTCCTCAGCTCCGTCCTGCCATCGCTGACCCCGAGCCAGGCCACCAACTCAATGGGCCTGCCCAAGAGAGCTCCACTAGGGTACGCCTCCTCCCACAGCCTACAACTCATTAGGTTTGTGAACTGTCACGAATTCTACTACATGTTTTGCTTCTCTGCCTCTTCAGGTTGCAAAAGAAGCAACCCAAGCCACGCCTCCCGTCTATCGAAGACGTCCGTGAGAGCAAAGAGCTTCTCCTCCATGACATCGAGAAGAAGCTTCGATTTAGAGACGATACTCCACATTTTACCCATCAACAGGTACTATTCAGTCCCTGCAAATTTGATTGATTTCTCTTTCTTGACTGCCTCAGTTGCAGCACTAGTGGTGAATAAATCATGTGTAAAAGTCAAAGATATTTTCACAAGCTTTAGCTTAGCCGAAAAGGCGGGTCCGCTGGGATAATTAGATAATTTCAACCTCCATTACATCCTGCTTATTCACATGTTAGACCACTGTATGAATATGAATGTCAGTAATGTTTAGTTTGAAATGTTAGTAACAAATTTTTAACTAACCAACTGTTGCAGTCTAGTTTTTTTTAAACTTTAAAGATGAAGTTTAAAGTATATTAACCAGTGAGTGTGATGCGTTCTCACTTGTCTCCAGCTTTGTATATGTATACATTTATATACAGAAGAGTGACGAATTAAAGGAAAAAACCCTTATAGGAATACAGTGAAAGCAGATGCTTCCACACACATGTACTGCATGGGACAAAAAAAAATCTAAGTGCTCTACAAAGAGGTTCCTTGTTGGGGA